GAGTGTGTGTGTGTGTAGCAGGCAGAGGCAGAGAGGAGGGAGGGATGATAGCAGGTATGCATGGAGTTTAATTAATTGGAGAAGGGATCCTCATCTCCTGTCACTTACAGAAATACCCCACGGCCATTAGAACTCTCTTCCTTCTAATGCAAACACAGCGAATACACAAGCGTATACTGTAACTAATTGACCAGGACCTTGAGTCTGACCCTCCCTCCCTGGAGTGGCTGTGTTGATGAGATTCAATGTGTTGACTTGATACTTGGACACCTTGTACAGCACATGTTCTTCTTTGAATATTTAAGATTCATCGTCTGTCAATCTGTCATGTTCAGTATGCAGTGATAACTGACTGAGAATGTCTCCCGTAACACCATATGTTGTCGGAGGCGATGAAAAAGCTCCAGGAGCTGTTTATTTTAGAGGCGGGCTGTTCTTCCACTGATTACAGTGTGTGACCTCTCACCATGCTGTTGAGCTGCTATCAATTGTGGCTGTTCCAGCTCGACCACGGATGACAGTTAGTGCTTTTTATTTTCGGCAGTCCAGGCCACACTTACAGGATAGTGGTCAGGGACATGCAGATAATGGATCTGTCAAGCAGGCAGGTCATACAGCTGGCTGTGTACCACTTTTCTTGGCTCTTACAGGCTTTGTGGATTAGCCAAAAGATTTTGAGTGTCATTCTTCACACAGAAGGTCTTATAAATGTGACTGCATCTTAAGTGTTAATGCCTGTGCTTGTATTCAAGACACATACAGTACAAAGAGCTCTCTCCACCAGCAGTCCTGGCAATAACAAGTTGTTGGTCATATTCTCAGTCTACATCCGTGACTCACTTCATTAATTCTTCCTTTCTGCGTCTTTCTCTACCGATCCTCCCGTCTCTTGTTCTTCCCTGTTGAGCACAATGCTCGAATCAAAGTAAGGAAGGGTTGAATAGAAAATAGGTATCTCATTCATTCTGGTGAATTTCTGAAAAGAAAGACAACATTTTTAGAAATAGAAAATTTGACTGACAGCTATGAACTTATGTCTTCAGATCCTGTACAGGCTGCTTAATGGAATGGAAAAACGCAAAGAGGGGAGACAGGAAATGGAGGGAGACAAAGATAGGACAGGAAATGTATAAAAAAGAAAGAAAAAAGAGGAGGTGCAGATGAACAAAAAACACAATTTGCATGAGTTCATTCACATGTTTTTTGAGTCAGTTAACCTGGTGAACTGCTCATCACCTCAATTCACTTCAATTTAACCTCATTTGCACGAAATTCGATTCTTTTTTTTCCCCCTCAAATTTCCTGCTAGCAAACCTTGACTGATCTCTATCATTAACAGGCTGCTCAGTGTGTGTGTGTTCACTCAATACAGGCATCTTTTCATCCAAATTCATAATCCACTATTGATTTTTTTAGCATTGTATTTTGCAATGTAGTCAGTGTACTTGTATACAACAAGCACATGTAATAAGATCCAAACACGTACACATCTGTGGCACCTTTTCTATTTCCAACCTGTCAATGGGTTGCTAAAGGTTTAATATGGAGGACTGACTTGGAAAATAAAGCAAAAAGAAATACCTGTTGTTTCCAAGTGTCATTGTTTGTTTTCTTCCTTCCTTTTCTTTCCTCCAGTTTTTATTTAATCCCTCTTTCCTCTATTCCTATCCAATCTCAATAACAACTGAATCAAATATGCTGTTTTATAGCCGAGGATATTTACCCAAGAAATGTTTATTGTCGAAAATACACACCGATAAACAGAAACAAACACACACACATGGGCACGCAGATGTTTATGGCCGAAGACTGATCAGCGAAGCCTAACTATACCCTTACGATTCGTAAAAAACGCCCATGGGAGTACTCCACTCTGACAGCTGTAACAAGGTACTGTGTGTATATTTATGTGATTGTGTGTGTGTGTGCATTTGTGACAAAGGATGCCAAAGGATACAACCCTGTAAAGAGAATCTAATTAAAACTCTATACAGCCACGAGGGACAGAGTGCTCCCTCCCTCCCCCCCCTCTGCCTCCTCCTCCTCTTCTCATTTAACCATAGTGAACACTTGAGCTGAAGGACTGTTAGACAGTAGAGTCTATCCTCTGCCCTCCAAGGAGAAGCGATATTGAAGGAAAGGATATAAAGTGATTCAGCGATAAAGGCTGTGACAGAGGCAGGAACACATAGGGAACAGCAGAGAATTCAGCAAACTTATCAGTTCTCGTGAGCGTAGCCTATTTTCTTTGAAAATGACCTAAGGGCTGCATGCCATTCAATAACATCCACTAAACAATTAATTAATTCAAGAGTTTTTTAATTAAAATGGAGCTCGCTTGGCTTAACCCTTTTATACATAACATAAAAACACATGAGCGGGCAATGAAAAACTATGATTTAAATACGTATTTTAAATACCAGGAGTCTGTAAACACTTACATATAGCCAGCAGCATCTCAGTTAGTTCTGGTGTTAGCTATTATAACTTACTAATTTCATCATAAAGGACTGTGAATAAAATTAATGTGCAGTGATATCTGGATCCAGTTCCAGACTGGTTCTCATCAATCTTTATTAATGTCAATGTGCCACAACATTCAGGTTTGAAGGCATCTAATTTTAAGACAGATGATGATTTTATCTTTTACTAGTTCAGGTAACAAATGTCAAGTGACAGGTATTATATATCAGCTGTGAATAATACACATTTGCTGGAAGTTACTTGCCAAAAAGGCCAAAATAAAACTTGGCTCTCTGGCCTGGTGTGTGTTCTCAGCCAAGAAACTATAACTTGGATTTGTAAAACTACTCAAAGGTCTAATATGTAGGATTTACGCCTTGATTCCACCTACATATGTGACTGTTGTCTGTAGATCCGTAAATATACGGATGATGCCTCTAGTGCCCAACGCAAGGAAGTGCATTCCAGATGGATAGAAACCTGACAGAAACTTCCTGTAGCCATTGGGGAGAGGCTATTTTTGTCTGTCTTTCACCATCCAGTAGTTTGGAATATGCCCTTGGACCTGCCAGGTACATGGCATGCTTCGTGAAATATTTGATTAAAAAGACGTATGAACATCTGACTGTATATAATGTTCAATCGTATTTCAATAGAATAACATTACTCAGTTCACAATGTGTTTAAACTAGATAAACAAGTTATTTTTAATCATACAAACTCACTTGACATTCATCACAAGCAACTGAATTGAAGAAAATAGTCTGTTAGCTGGTTAGCAGCCTGTTAGCTAAGCTAGCACACTGTCATGTTGTCTCTCCAAAGTCCACCGCAAAAGTTCTTTTTTTTTTTTTTTTTTTTTTTTTAAACATATTCACGGCAAAGTCCGGACCAAAATATTACGGAGGGGAGGTGTTTCTCAGGCATATCAGATATCACAAAGATTTCCATAGGAATGAATGGACTTCCGGTTGCCTCATCTCCTTACACATATGTAAGTGGACATGAGGCGTTTTTTTTCTAGCAGTGAGGTTGCAGAACTCAATCTTCTCCTGTGTGCCAAGTGTGTGTGACACAAAACAGTGAAAAGTGAGAATGTGAATGTGCCTATTTAGAGAATGTTTAATTTGTCCATTCTGGGCTACTTTAGAGCAACATGCCGGACTCCGTAGAAAAGGTCCTGCTCCATATATTGATATAAACAGCACATCCTAAGGTAAAGAAAACATAATGATTCTCATTTTCAGACGATTATACACCAGTGAAAACATAATTTTTAATATTATACACCATTTCTGTCGATACGTACACCTAAATCCTTCACACTGGACCTTTAACATCACTCAATAATCATGTTTGGACTAGGGATGGGCATCAATTTTCGATTATCGATGATTGATTGTTAAGGCTTTTGATCGATCACAAATAATTTTGATCGATAGTCACAGTGTTTCCCCTACAATGCCTGGCATAGGTCCGGCGAGCCGCCGTGCCAACGAGACCCCCTGCCCGGCTATTTTCCGTTCCAACTAGACCCTTCCGCCCGGCGAGCACGGCGGCTCGACGGGCCTACGAGACCCCCGCCGGACCTATGCCAGGCAAAAAATCAGAAACAGACGGAGGCTCTCATCGCTCTCCAAAGCCTCGGCGGCTTCTCTTGAGGCCTCTGAAAACACTACGCCATTGAAAGACGGAGGTTTTGCTGAAAACTGAAGCCTGTAACTCTGGCTGGCAACGGTTGTAAACACCCAGGGGTGAACTGCGCATGCGCGCCATTCTTCCTCTTTGGCCTGGGGGGTTGAAGCTCAAAACTGGGGCAGCTGTGCTCTCTCGCGGCGACAGTCTGCACTCCACTCTTTTGTTTTCTCTCTTTTGAAATACTCGCTTATCAATTAATCGATAATTGATTGTTAATTTTTTTGATGATCGAATAATGAATTTTGATCTTTTGCCCATCCCTAGTTTGGACAGTGTTATTTTGCAGTTCAACTAAACTACCTGGTGAGTGGTGAGTCTTCTCTGATGAAATGATCTAGCTTAGTCACGTCAATTTCAGCTGTCAGAATCTCAAAGTTAAACTTTCTTTCATGTGATATCAATAATTCAAGCTTCTCATCTAAGTAGTTCTGAGTCAGGGCCTCCAGTGTTTGGACCAACATGCTTACAAAAAAATAATGTGTTTAAAATTAAGTTGGCTAAATCAGTTATTCTAATGTATTAAATCAACATTTCACATCCTCCACTGTTCATCTCATTTTCAGGTTGTATCTGTGGGATGTCAACAATAATTAGGCCGCCGCTTAAACTGCCTAAACCTAATCAAGCTCCCCAAAAGCCTTAAAAAGGTGAAACAATGTCATATAATGAGAATGTAGCAATTTCTCGAAGACTCTGGAAATCTTCTAATCCATAATCAGTCATATTTGATTATGGAATAAACAAAGCTTCTTTGTTAGGTTTAAAATATGCAGTATAATTAGCAGCATTGTTTAATATTACATCCAAAACATACAGAATCAGGCAGAATGTTATTTTACCTGAGACACTCATGTAGACGGCCGGACTCGTCACATTCTCTCCTGTCATCTCGTTCACTGCCTCCACGTGGTAACGTCCAGCATCCACCGCAGTGGTTGCCAAGACAACCAGCTGATTGTCCAAAGTGATTGCACTGTAGGGCACAAACAAAACACACAGGCAACAAGGGATTAGAAAACAACAATAACGACCAAAAGCAAAACGTGCCTCCTTCTAGCGTTGTTCCATCTCAGGGAAGAACCCCGCTCAAACTAAGACTCTGACAAGGAGAGTATTTGGTACACGGATCATTTAGAATTCATAAGGGGGGGAAGGAAACATTGAACACATTCATCAGAAAGGGAAAGAGGATTCGGAGAGCTTAAATAAATCTCTCCTCCTGTCTCAGATTGATATGTGGCTCATTTTGTGTCTCTTTCATTCTTTTGGCCGTTCTTGTTGTTTGTGTATTGTCTTCTGTTCTTCCTTCTTTACACTGATCCATCCTCATTTCCCAACGTACCAGCAGCAATCAATACAGCACAAACATACAATACACACAAGCACACGCAATCACAAAAACACAGGATCTAACACTGTTCTCACATAAGCACACAGAGATAAGAAACAATCACTTACAAACAGACTTTGTGTTGCTGTTGCTTTTCACGGGCGCATAATAGGAAGAGTTGATTTTGGAGGGAGACGGTGTGGGAGAGGATAGCAGGAAGGAGTCGAGGAGGGTAAGAAATGTATTCGTGGAGCTCAGATTTTCATGTGTTTGAACTTGTGTGTCTGTGAAGAGATGCCGCCAGGCAGGAAACGCAGGTTGATGTTTTTAGTGATGCTACTTGTGTTTTCAGCATGTCAGTGAATGTAAATCTTCCAATATTCTAACCTGAGAGCTGACACTGAAATAAAATCAATATGACCAAAGGGAGAATAAAGCATATTAAAGTGAAATGACAGCCTTTTATTTTTATAGACTCTGAGTCTGATTCTGTGCCCCCACAACACAGCTACAAACTGTATGCTGTGTTCAGACTGTAAAGCCCTGCAAGACAAACTTGTGATTTGAGGCTTCATAAATAAAAAATAATAGGAGAGAAGATCCTGAATACGGCGTATCTAAACATCTCTTTATTTGGAGACGTAGCTTAGATTTGGAGAGACATTATTTTGAACAAAATATCTGCAAGTCTGTGTGTTTGTAGGATGTGTGTATTCTTCTGCAAGCATTGTTGAGCAGTGCTGAGTTGGCAGCAATGTGTGAGCCCAAAATCTAGATCGGCACAGTGCCAGTTGGGTGTGGTTTCCACTCCATTCCAATTTTGCACACAAAACAGCACATGCCACTTACGCCGACCTGAATCGACAACACACCACACGTTCCAACGAAGCTAAGTCCAAATGGAAAAGGCACTTTACTGTCTTTGCCAACACTTTAAAGCTGGAAAAGATGAAATTTAGGTTTCCCACAGCATCTTGACTACCTGCTGCTGTTTGATTATCAGATGGTAAGAGATTTGGCGTCATGGCTGCCACCTAATATGCCGCCTACACTCCATTTGGGTGGTGCTGCAGTGTTATAAGCATGAAGCTGGCACAACCAACCAATATGATCTACCAGCATCCACAGCTTAGAGATGACTGCACCCACGAACATGAGATCATGGCGGTCATTTACAGTATACATGGAAGTGTTTATGTATCACATTAATATAGGAACAACTGATTGAACTACATATTGATTGAGGAGAGGAGAGAACGTGTGGCTGTTTGACACAAACTCACACAAACACACACCACACGTACAGACAGAATTCTTCAGGTCTAATTTTATTCAGTGTGATTTCCCAGGAGAGCACCCACAAGAGCCAGAGCCTCAACCCCAACACTGACACTCTATTTGTGTGAGAGCATGCTGCTTTGTGTGTGCATGTATATGTGTGTGCATCTCACTGCCTGAAATAAGGGCTTTAACCAAACCTCTCTCCTGCTCTCTCCAACTTGTTCCACAGCGAGAATAGATTCTGCATCCTCACCAAGGTCTATAATGCAATTTATGGCTGTTAAGCTCATTAACTGCACTGACCAGCCTATTTTATCACATCTGTTTTGCCCGGCACATGCTGATTAATAGACAGTGAAAGCATGCTTTCTCTTGCCTATAGTGTCTGAGGGAGGAGAGAGCCTGGGAGGTTCGAGGGAATATAAGAGTTATAATAGTCAAAGTCAAAGGAGCTCGGTGGCGGGTGTGAGAATGCAATAAGACCAATTAAGATAGCATATTAACATTTGAAGATTTGTTGGGTTAGTAGTCTTTGGTCTCGTAGTATTTTTTCCTCATTTACATAACCCATTTATATGTACTATTAACATGTGAAATTACTTGTGATGACAGAGGCTGACGACTACAGGGATTTTCTCCACACTTTCATTTGTTCCAGTTTGGGAGGTCTCGAGCTCGATTTCCCGTAAAATCTTCACACGGAACTTTCATAACAACAAAACAAATCAGAGTGAAAGAAATGAAACATGCCAATAGGAAGTCAGGCAACAGAGATTAGAGGACCTAAATTCACATGGATTTCCCTTCAAAAAATAATAAAACGTCCCTATTAGTTCTAAGTAGCTGGAGGGTGGTTATACAATCTCATCCTAAGAGTTAGAATATAGTGAGACACGCACACGCTCATGCATGACCCTCTTTTCATTATGACTGAATTGTGACGTAATTGAGATTTAATATAACATAAACTCAACATGCGACTTTCTGCTCTCTTTTAGTTCTACATTTAATTAAACTGGACAAAATTGTTCTGGCTTTTAATTAAAGACAAACTCAATTGTAAAACAGTGCATGATTGCATGCTTATGTGTGTGTGTGTGTGTGTGTGTGAGACAGTTTATCCCCAGGCAGGAGAGGGAAATTAAAATACAGTAATCAACTACATCCTATTCCCCTTGCCTGAATTCCCCCCGTATCCCTCATCCCCCCTCAAATAATAAAAAACAGCTTCTCTGACTCCTTCTTATGAGATCCCATTTTTCCATTCTCCCTCAGATTACAATCTGCACATTTCTTTCTTGCTTTCATCCAATTTTCTTTGCGTTTTTCTTCCTCTAGCTGTCTCTCTATCACACTATCCTCCCCCTGACTCTGTCCTGTCTTACCTCCCCTCTCCTCCCCCTGACTCTTTTGAACCAAAGCACCAGGCCAGATTGGTCTTTCATTAAGTGTCTGGCCCCAAGACTCATTTAATAAACACTCGCGGGTGTCCGCACTGCAAGGCTGACTGCTGAACACACGCACACATATACAAGTGTGCCAAGAGCTAATTAGCACACACATGTTGCAGGCCAGAGGATGAGTGAGCGAGTCAGCGCATGAATGAGTGTGTTTTTTACATCTAAGTACGTCTAAGAGTGTGTGTGCGAGTATGTGTCGGGTCTGGGGACTGTCTCTCCTGCCAACAGAGCCCACCTCGGCCGTGTCTGCCCTCCCTCTCTATCTCTGATAGGCAGCGAGCCACCTTCTTAAAACCACACTGCGTCTGACATACAGTGGTTCCGGGTGGAGGAGTGTGGCGGCAGGGCGGGAGGAGGGACACTCCACTGTAAACCCAATCCAGACAGCATGGTTTTTGGCAGCTTCATCTCCAAAGCAAGTGCCAGCCAGCCACCCACACATTACACTGCATACATACACGCACCTTCTCACACAGGCACACACACAGCTGGGAGCATTCTCTGTTCCACGCAGCCGTTTAACCGGATGTTTGCTTTGGTTTTTAAGTAAGTGGACATATGAATGCAGTCTCTGTTGGACTGATTGATAGTTAACGTACGCAGGTTTATACCTGCTGAATGCAGCATTATATGTGTGTGTGCGTGTTTGTGTGTGCGTTTGTGTGTGTGTGTCTAAGGATCTGCATAAATCCGGCTTAAACTCAGACTTTTGTTATTACAAACTTTACACCAGGTTGAGGTATTCAAATTTTTTAAGCATTCTGCTCTCAGAATTGCCTGTCAGCTTGAGTTGTGGTGTGGTGTCCTCTATCCCAAAGTAATTGGTAACTATAAAACTCTGCTGCAGAGAGTGCACTGTTTTGAATGCAGAGAGGAGGGAGAGAGCTTCTGTACAATATTCATCAATATACGATCGCTTTTTTGGCTTGTGTTTTTCTTTGTCTACACAACTGCAAGCAAAGGCTGACATAAAAAACACAGTAAAGTCGATAACTGCTGGATTAGCATTACCATAACAAGTCATCCTTTTTAGTAAAAGTATATTTTTTTGTTTTTTAAACTTTATTGATTTAGAGACCCTTAGTGTAGTTGGAAATTCAGTGGTGGCTTGTTGGTAATCTCTCCATAAAAAAAAAAGTTTATGCAACCACATTGGACTCCATAGCCCTGTTTCCACCAGACACTTTTAATATGGTACCTTTGGAAACAAAAGTAATCATTCAGACATGGTACCTAGACCCTAGTGTTTCCACCGCAGACAGTGCCCTTAAATGTGGGCAGGGTTATTGTCACTCACTGCTACGCCCAGCATTCACTGTATTTCCTCCTTTATCAGTCTGCAGAACGAGTCTGCATGCTGACATTTTCACAACAAAATAAAACAGGCTGCAGTGTGAGGTTTGTGCATTTAGTCCTTCTCAGGCAAGCTCTGGGGTTTAGTGTTGCCGGAGCCCACAGGAACAATGCTCCACGACAAAGTGATAACAGTGTTATCAGTGTTAAACTTAAAGTGTGTTGATTGATTCACATCGTCAACTCGTGCATTGAGTAACATCACAAGTTAACGTTCCACCCTAAAAGTCGCCAGCAGTCGGTCTAGTGAAATAAGTTTCTTTTTTTCTCCGACTCCAGCTGCTGCAAGAGGCAGCAAAACATCCTTTCATTTTATAGTTACAGGAATAAAACTCTCCACGGTATGAAGAGTGGTTACATGAGTCTCAAAACCAGCCACAACTCAGCCTGAGCAGAGTCCTCTATTGACCAATCAACAGACTGCAGTGTTCACAGCTCCACCTTTTAGTACCGAATCTGTGTGCTAGGTACCCCAGCAGAGGCATGACCAAAAATGGGGACGGTATGAAACAGTTTCATTGGTACCATCCACAACTTTTCACAGTGGAA